GGGGGAAGAAAAATCGAGGAGACATAGGTTCTAGTTTGAGGCTTTTCTACAATAACCAAATGTCTCTATAACCAAACACCAATGACCAGATGTCTCAATAATTCTATGACCAAATATCCCTTTAACCAAATGTCTCTATAACCAAACACTAATGACCAGATGTCTCAATAATTCTATGACCAAATGTCCCTTTAACCAAATGTCTCTATAACCGAATGTGTGGATAACCTAATGTCTGGATAACCAAATGTCTTAATAACCTAATGTCTGGATAACCAAATGTCTCTATAACCAAATGTCTCAATAATCTTATGTCTGGATAACCAACATGTCTGAATAACCAAATGTCTGGATAACCAAATGTGTGGATAACCAAATGTCTTGTCCACTTCCAGGGAGATCAAGGACGTACCGGAAGGAGAGGCAGACGCGGTCTGCGCGGAAAGACAGTGAGTTCCGTTGGCTGCTTGTGCTGTTTAGTTTACATGTTTGTTGCAACGTCACTTTTCTTGTCAGTTGTTTGACTTTGTCTACGTTTGTTGCTATCCCTGTGTTGGGATTTTGTGTAAAGCTCAACATGTACAATTGTACTACTTCAACTATCAGTGAGTCGGTATGATAAAAGTCTACGAGGAGTAAACACGAAAAAACAATTTTCTGTGATGGATCTAAATCTCTCTGTGGAAGTCTGGTATCTTTATAACTATGCACAACATTCTAAATATCATGATAGTCGTACTATAGCAATGACTTGTAATAAAAGTAGCGGTAATATTTTATATTCATTCTGTCATGCAAAATCAAACTAAAATTAGAGGGTTCAGACAGGCAAAGCACACAGTATACATTAACCACGAGTGATGACTTCCACAAATGTGGAAAGTTTCATTAATTTTTTGTGCTGTCTTCAACCCAATTTAGGTTTTTCAGAATAGGGGGCTGCCTCAGCCCAGCCTTTTAAGAGCTCACCTGGACTGAGGGAGGAACAACCATGTTGTTTTTTGCCCTGCTATTTCATCAGAAGCTCAGAGAGGAAAATCATTTTGACCATGATGATAACCTTCTATTGGTGCCCACATAATCAGCATTTGTCTTTGTATTGTGTTTATTTTAACCTACAGAAAAGAGTATTTGTAACAAGGTATTGTTTGTAGTACATGCCATAAAAGAACTTATGTTTGGTAGAGTGTCTTCTGTAGTTTGAGTGTAAAAAAAAAAAATATTTTGACGGAGTATTGTTTCCTTTTTTGTCTCCAGGGTCTCATCGGACCTCAGGGAGAGCAGGGAGAGCCTGGACTCAGAGTGAGTACCCTTGTATCTTTGACCTTGACCTTGTGTGTGAGAAGTCTCAATCATGTGATCATATGACCTTATGCAGTTACAAGCACTGATAAACACTTATAAAAAAAACCAACCCCAAAAAGCCTCAACAGTTTGTCACCTGACTGCTTCAACAAACTTGGAGTAACATTTACTGCTAGAGGTAGAGTGTGAAGACAAAGCCCTTGGACAAAGATCGAGAGATGTATAATCTTGGACCGTTTCGTGCTGTAACAATGCTGTTAGACTGGTCTGTGGCATCTTTCTCTCTTATTAAAGAAAAAAAATCCCTCAAGGTTTTTGAGTTTAACTTTTCTATGATTTTTTATTTCAATAACCAGCATCTTTTTTATTACAAAAATGTTTTTTCCCTCAATGTGATTTATTTTATGTGTTTTTGTTCTCTTTTTTTGTTGTAAATCCCATTTTTTAAAAAGATAACTTTACTTCTTTCTAACAATTGACATGTTCTGTGCTTGTTCCCCTCCTGCAGGGCCAAAGAGGAGAGAGAGGCAAGCAGGGAATCCCCGGACCCCCCGGACCCAAGGGAGATCTTGGAGTCCCTGGACCCCCAGGATTTACCGGAGAGCAAGGTATCCAAGGACCACCCGGACCCCCAGGACTCATGGGACCTCCCGGACCCAGCGTAAGTGGAGGAAAAAAAGGGGACTTGTTGTCCTTGGAAAAGGGGAATTGTTATTGCTAGTGTTTTTTATGCTCAGGAAAGCTTGTTATAATTTGTTATTGTTGGTTGTGGTTTGTCATGATTAGGATTAAAACAAAGATGGGGTATGGATGAGTAACGTTTGAGTTTAGATGTACGTGTCTTTGGACACCTGAATAGACATAAAGGTCTTGAACATCTAGCTCTCACTGGCAAAATTGAAGGCAAACGAGGCAGGGGTAGGCCCAGAGCAACCTACTTAGAGAATGGAAAACAAATGGGTAATGGTGAAAGATCAAAGAAACATAGCTTTTTTAAGAACATCCAAGCAAAGGAATGAATGGAGAACCATGATCGCTGATGTCTGCAATGACCTTGCCTGGCTCTATCAACCTGTGCTGACAAGGATAAGATGTCTCAGTAGAAAGGCCGATAAACTTGATAATAATTCTCCCCTCAGGGTTGTCAAACTCACGTCTTCTAAGTGTTACAGCCGCAATAACGACCGTGCTGACTTGCCTGGAGTGTAGTTTGTCGGAAATAGACCTAGTCAAATCTTCTAGTCGTGATCCAGGCATAAATTCAAGTGTTTGTAGTTTTTATATTTCACATTTACTAATATCTACTTAAAAAGGTCTGCTTTTTTTCCTGCAACCTTACTAGTTATCATTTCCCATTTTAGTTATATTCTTCCCTAGTCTTCTATTTTTTTCTCGATCTCTATGGCAATCTTTTTCTAATTTCCAACATTCTCCTTTCTTTTTTGGATTTGACTTAATTCTTCTTTTTTTTTGGTCCCTTTTCTCAGGGAGTGGCTGGACAAGATGGACAGACCGGAGTCCCCGGTGACCGTGGTGAGCCTGTGAGTATATCATTTGTTTTTATTTGTTTGTTTGTTTGTTTGTTTGTTGTTTTTGGATACATTATAGATGTAGACAGACAGCAGGTGTCAGAGTGTTTCTTAAAATTGACCATAAAGCAGACGTAGTTAGTAACATTTTTTACTGCCTCCTCATTTCCTACTTATTTTTCATTTTTTGCTTGTCTGTGGTCTTCATTCTTTCTTATTGCCTTTTATAAATTTGTGTAGTTCTTGTAGCTTTTACAGGAACTTTTATACGTAAGAAATTGTTTGATAGCAAAATGACACTTGTGTTTATCCCTTTTGTAGCTTCAACAGAATATACACAATTCAGAAACTGTTCCACAGCACAATAAAGCTTATACCAGCTCGACTTTGTAGCCAATACAGGAATGTGCACAATGTTCAGAAACTGTTCCTTAGCACAATAGGACAACAATGTTTGTATCTGCTCCTTTTTGAAGTCACAGCAGGAATATACACAATGTTTGTACCTGCATACTTCAAAAGCTGTTCAATAGATCATTGACATTTGTGAAGCGTTCTGACAAAATGAGTTACTTCTCAGACTTGAGTCCAATGGAAATCACTACATCATGCTTATAGGTGAAGCTTTTCCAATTTATAAGTAGGAAATAATAAAAAGCATGTTATTCTGTAAGAATATGGCATTAATAGAAAATCTACTTGTTAGACCCTAGTGTTGATTTTTGGCCAATATCTCCATTTGTGGATTGCGAGAAGTAAATCATTTTGTCAGCACACCTCATATTTGTTCCTGCTCCACCATATATTTATTCAGGAATTTATTAACTTCAGAAACTGTTTGATGTATTCAGGAACTTACACAGTTCAGAAACTGTTTGATGTATTCAGGAACTTACACAGTTCAGAAACTGTTTGATGTATTCAGGAACTTACACAGTTCAGAAACTGTTTGATGTATTCAGGAACCTACACAGTTCAGAAACTGTTTGATGTATTCAGGAACTTACACAGTTCAGAAACTGTTTGATGTATTCAGGAACTTACACAAAGTTCAGAAACTGTTCAATTTATTCAGGAACTTACACAGTTCAGAAACTGTTCAATTTATTCAGGAACTTACACAGTTCAGAAACTGTTCAATTTATTCAGGAACTTACCCAAAATTCAGAAACTGTTCAATAATGCGGGATGTTTCTTCAATAATGCGGTGATGTTTCTTCAATAATGCGGTGATGTTTCTTTAACTCATTAGCTCTTTATCTCCCGTAAGTTCTTTAACTCATTAACTCTTTATCTCCCGTAAGTTCTTTAACTCATTAGCTCTTTATCTCCCGTAAGTTCTTTAACTCATTCACTCTTTATGTTTGTTAAGTTCTTTAACTCATTAGCTCTTTGTCTCTGATATGTTCTTTAACTCATTAACTCAATAATGCGGTGATGTTTCTTCAATAATGCGGTGATGTTTCTTCAATAATGCGGTGATGTTTCTTCAATAATGCGGTGATGTTTCTTCAATAATGCGGTGATGTTTCTTCAATGACGCGGTGATGTTTCTTCAATAACACGATGATGTTTCTTCAATAACACGATGATGTTTCTTCCACAGGGTATTCCTGGCAGCCCTGGACAGCCTGGACCAGTTGGAGTGATGGGACCTGCTGTAAGTTAGATAGAGATAGATCTATGTGTCATGTCGTGATGAGTCCTGCTGTAAGTTAGATAGAGATAGATCGATGTGTCATGACGGGGTGGAATCAGGCGCTCGTCAATTTTTGAGCATGTGGAGTTATTGGTACCATCTGAAAGCTGTTTCATTTGACTTGCTTGTAATGAAATAAATATCCATCTATCTTGAGTTGAAGTCAAAATATTTTCGATTGAAGGAGATGAGGTCGCCTGGTTTCAGTGGTGAAATTCGTGACAAAATGGCCACCAAAGTTTGGTAATTTCAGTAGTTGAAAAAAGTCCTTCAAACTGAAAAATGACATATCATTGTGCCTTTAATCAATGTTTTTCAGTAAAATTCACGTGGAAATGAGTTTTTATATGGACATGAAAGGTGTTGAGCTCTCCCCAAATAAATTCGATAAAAATATTTTAAAACTGGGTGAAAAATGCCTTTTTCTTTGATTTGGTTATTTTGACGAGTGCTTGATTCAAATACGCCGCCTCACTTATAGTTTTATGTGAAAATATGTAGCTTTGGACAAAGTCCTCTATCCATAGATGTCTTATTTAGCTAAGATAGAAAGGAATACACTTGGAGACAATTGAATTTGAAGAAAAGCTTGAAGCGTGTGCGAGAGAGAGAGAGAGAGAGAGAGAGAGAGAGAGAGAGAGAGAGAGAGAGAGAGGGAGAGGGAGAGGGAGAGGGAGAGGGAGAGAGGGAGAGGGAGAGGGAGAGGGAGAGAGAGAGAGAGAGAGGGAAAGAAAGTGAGAGAGAAAGTGAGAGAGATAAGAGGGTATTATCTGAGCCTAGTTTTTTCTCGCCATAGTGGAACAATGTCCTTACTCCTCCTCCATGTTCGAACTAAACTGAACCAATAAATGATTTATATTTCTAAAGACACTATCTACTCATACTTAAGTGCTGGTGTAGCCTTGTACTCTTCTGTCTTTTCATTCAGTACTTCTCTAATGTCGATGTAACTGGCATGCGTGACATGTAATGTGTAACCTGAGGTGTGAGGGTTAACTCAAGTATGTGTGGTGTGTAATCAGAAGTACTTGTGTAACTGTGATGTGTGGTGTGTAATCAGAAGTACTTGTGTAACTGATATGTTTGATGTGTGATGTGTAATGTGTAACCAGAAGTGTGACTGGTAACTCATGTATGTGTGATGAGTGATGTGTACCCAGAAGTATTTGTGTAACTGGTTTGTTTGATGTGTGATGTGTGATGTGTAGTCAGAAGTATTTATGTAATGTGTACGTGCGATGTCTACCCAGAAGTATTTGCGTAACTGCTATGTGTGATGTGTACCCAGAAGTGTTTGTCTTTCCCCCCAGGGACCCAACGGAGAGAGCGGCCCACCAGGAGAGCGTGGACCCCCAGGAAACTCCGTAAGTTTCCCTTTTTAGTTTTTTAGAGCACCAGCCAAAAACCCACTGTAAGTTTCTGTTTTTAGTTTTTTAGAGCTGATAAGTGTCGAAGATTTGAGGTGTTACTAGAGAGGAACATAAAACAATGGTTAGAGAAGGTTCGACTGTGTCTTTAATAATGAAACTTCTCTGCCGTAGCCGTGGAACTGAACAGCACAAATAATGTGGTTGACTGACGTACAGACTTTTTCTGCTCGTTATGTTTATTATGAACTAGTTGACTTTCAAGTGTTAAAATACAAACTTTCAGCAGTTTAGTTGTTATAAGAAGCTTATCATCTATATATCTCTCCTAAGAGCTAAGAGTTCCATGTTATGCAGAAATATTTCATCTTATTTCTGAATATTATCTGAAGTGAGGTCTGAAATTAACACCTTTTTTGTGTACAGCCTCAGTTTTCCATTATTTGCATAAATATTTTATCTTATCTCTGAATATTTCTGAAAGGCAGCTCTGAAATTTACATCTTGTTTTGTTTTTACAGCCTTAGTTTTCTGTGAAAGAGAAAGATTAAGACATGGCTTACTCGAATTTTCTTTACTATAAAAGTGTTTTTCTTCCAAAAGTAGAGGGGAAAAAAGTGCTGACATTACGATTTCTTCATGAATGTTTTTCCTCTTTGTCGACAGGGACCCCCCGGAGACACTGGTATCCCAGGAGCCTCTGGCAAGACTGGCGCTCCCGTAAGTTCTTTAACTCATTCACTCTTTATCTCCCGTAAGTTCTTTAGCTCATTAACTCTTTATCTCCCGTAAGTTCTTTAGCTCATTAACTCTTTATCTCTGATAAGTTCTTTAACTCATTCACTCTTTATCTCCCGTAAGTTCTTTAGCTCATTCACTCTTTATCTCCCGTAAGTTCTTTAACTCATTCCCTCTTTCTTTCCAGTAAGTTCTTTAACTCATTCACTCTTTATCTCCCGTAAGTTTTTTAACTCATTCACTCTTTATTTCTGGTAAGTTCTTTAACTCATTAGCTCTTTGTCTCTGATATGTACTTTACCTCATTAACTCTTTATCTCCTGTAAGTTCTTTAACTCGTTCACTCTTTATGTCTGTTAAGTTATTTAAACTCAGAGGTCCTGATTCTTAACTGGTCATTTTTAAGCACAAGGGGGCTATCCCCAAAAATGCTGCTTTTAGAAAATTGAAGGTAAAGTTTTTGGACCCTTGTTCAGTTTCTTTAAAAGACAAGGAGAGTTTTCTCTATAACCAAACAAATATACACACCAATGAAACCAAACTTCTCCTATAGGTAGGGCAATGTCCACTTTTGGTGTAGATGAAGATTTTCTGAAACCCCCAAAAATC